TTGCTTCCTTTCCCTGGGCCCCAGTTTTGTGGGTCTCTCAGCCTGTCATTTCTAGAATTCTGTGGCAGGTATCAGTCTTCTTTCCTGCTAGTTGGGTAATCTCCTGCCTTGCAACTTACAGCCTCTGAAAACCTGCTGGGAGGTCAGCTATGTGTCAGTTCTGATATAAGGGCAGGGAGTGTGAGGTTTGGTGGTTTTTTGGTTTGTTTTTAAAGATCTTATCTTTGATTAAAAGCAGTCACCCTGCTCAAAGTACTATTTTCTCCTGTCCATACAGATTGGTTCAGGGAATTCTTTCATGAATCAAACCTGGTCCATGAGAATCTGATCTATTACATTTGCTGGAAGTGTTGGAAAAATGTTTTTTCTTTATGAGAAAAGGTTGTGATTGGTAAGTTGGTGAAAATACATGAAGTCTGAGAAGAGTCAAAGAAAAAGGATTGAGAAACAGAGATAATGCCGGTAGCATCATCTGAGGCCCCGGATCCAGCTGCACCTGAAACTAGTAATACATTTCTTCAGTTAAACAAGCTTGAGTTGATTTTTTTGTACTTGTACCTTGTCAAAGAACTAAAACAATATTGAGGAACTGTGACAGTGGATCAAAATGAATAATAGAGGTAAAATATATCTATTTTTATTCCAATAAATAATTTTACAGGTAAATATTTTTTTAAGGAGATATAATGTGGGGGTTGTAATCAACGTCATAAAATAGAAGGTAAATATTTTTTTAAGCCTCAAATTTTTCAGGCCATAAGTTAACCACAAGACACCAGTTAAGAACAGTACATGTATATTTGTGTGTATGTGTAAGAGATGGGGTGACCTGACCTATTGGTTTGACAAAGACTAGTAGAACCTCTGAAACTATGGTATTCTTAGTCATCTTTCAAGCCTGTAGATTAAATCACCCCTCCAAGACTCAACTTACAACCAAACAACAAATAGGCCTATTTACCAGTAAGACCAGAGAAGGACAAACTTGGAAAAATTAACCATAGAGATCAAATTAGAGAGCTTTGGTGACCTAGGGATAAGACACTGTGCTGCAATCACAAAAGCCCATGGTTCAAATCCAGTAGCTACTCTGTGGGAGAAGAATGGGCAATCTCCTCCCATGCAATTTATTGCCTCTGAAAACACACTAAGGGTCAGCAATGGGTTAGCTCTGACTTAATGGCACACACAACAACAACAACACAATAAAATGAATTGGCAGTGTTTGCCTAGTGATCAAGCTCAGAAGGAAAGAAGGGATAGAAAAGAAGGATGAATGGAAACAAGAAACAGAGAGGAAGTGGGAAGAGTGCTAATATATGGGGAGAATATGATCAATGCCATGAAGCATAATGCATATGGATTGTTGAATGAAAACCAATTTTCTCTGCTAAGTAATCTCATTTAAATCATAAAATAGACTGAAAGGAGAGAGATATAGGATAATATATATAAGATAGGGATGATGATGATGGGGGGTGTGTGTGTATGTGTGTGTCTCTGTGTGTGTGTGTGTGTGAAAGAGAGAGAAAGAGAGAGAGAGAGAGAGAGAGAGAGCGAGCGCATGATGCCTGGAGTAATGTCGTAAGAGATAGGGGTGATATATATGTATAAGGGATGGTGGTGATACATTTGTGACTGATGAGTGATATGCAAGAAGGAGGAGTGATGTGTGTTTCAGATATGGGGGGGTGAGGGCTGGCATGGTGTAAGAGATGGAAAGATGTGGTGTACGTAAGAGATGGGGTGATACGCATTTAAGAGATGAGGGTGTGTGTAGGGCTAGAGTTATGTATGTGCTGTTAAGTCACCTGTGGATCATAGTGACTATGTACAACAGTCCTGCTCTATTCTGTGCCAATCTTATTGTCTCTGACACACCTTTCCCCATTACCTCAGTCACTGAATCAATCCATCTCATCGAGGGTCTTCCTCTCCTGTGCTGTCCCTCCACCCTCCCAAGGATGATGTCCCTCTCCAAGGCCTGGCCCTTCCTTGCAACATGTCCAAAGTATATCAGATGAAGCTTCAGAATCCTTGCCTAAAAGGAACAGCTTGGTTTACCACTCTCTAGGATGAACCTGCTTGTTTTTTAGCAGTCCATGGTATATTCAATACTCCAACACCACTGCTCAAAGGCATCAATTCTCTATCATCCCTAGTCCAGCTCTCTGATGCATAGCAAGTTATTGCAAAGATCATGACCTATATCAGGCACACCTTAGTCTCCAGACTGACATTGTTGCTCTTCAGTACTTTGGAGAGGTCTCTGACAGCAGACTTTTCCAATGCAATTAACTTTTTAATATCCTGGCTGTTGGTGCCAAGAGTGTTGATTGTGGAGAAAAGCAAACTAAGCTGTTAACAATCTCAATCTCTTCACCATCTATCATGATGCTGCCAATCGGCCCAATGGTGAGAAGCTTTTTTTTTTTTTTTAATATTGAGCTTCAATCTTTATTAAAGGCTGAGGATGTATAGGAGGCAAAACAAGGCGCAGGAGATGGGGACTCAGTTCCCTTCCCCAACACAGGTACACCCAGGCTTCCTAGAAGCCTGCAGTTCAAGGTGGAGCCTGCAATTCTTTGGAGCTCTAAGGGCCAAGAAAACAACACTCTACACTAGATCTACGGGACATATCACTCTCCCTTGGGAAAGTATTTCATTTTACTACAATGTGTTGCAACTGGAAGAGAGAGGAGCAGTAATTCAAGGGAAAGGACTTTTCTTCAGAACCGTCAGGGATAGGATGTCTTCCCTGATACTAATACTTGGTATCTGGACGTAGAGATTCCTAAACTCAAGAGGCACTGGTCACAGTATAAAAAAACTGGCAGCAGTGTGAAGCATTTAGAATCACAGAAGCCCCAAAAGCTTGAGATATAAGCTATCATATCAAAAGCTGGATAGTGGGAGATAGGTGTTGAAGGGAGTAGGTGGGAGTAGAAGGGAATGCTGGTGAAGCAGGGAAATGAGTGTGTCAAGACACTCATGTCACGGGAGGAGACAACACTGAAACTATTGGTTATTTCTACAATTGGGAAAATATCTTTCATCTGTTCTTTTCCATAAAGTGCTTGTTTGTCACATACTATTCTAAATCTGAGCATTCAGATTAAGATAGACTAGGAAGAAGGATTGGTCATCCACTTCTGAAATAGCAGGCCTTTGAAAATCCTCTGTACAATAAAACACTTAGACTAGCAGCTAGGGCAACTGAGGTGGAGCCCTCAAATATGGAAACACAAAGGAGAAGGAACAGTTGTAAGCAGACACTAATGATTGGGACATGAATTGTGAGAACCACTAATGTAGGAAAGCTAGATATTGTTAAGAAATAAATGAAACACATAAATTTTGATGTACTAGGTATTGGAGAGATGAGATGGACTGGCATGGGACATTTTGAGTCAGATGATCATATTATCTACTATGCTGGAGAAAGGTGAGGAAAAATGGGATTGCTTTCATAGTTAAAAAGGTCATTTCTAGATCTGTCTTGAAATACAATATTGTGACAGGATAATATCCGTATGCATATAAGGAAGTCCAGTGAATATCACTATCATTCAGATATATGCCCCAACAACCAGAGGCAAAGAAGAGGAAATAGAAGATTTGTGCTAACTTTTGCAGTCAGAGATCTGAGCCATGTAGCAGAGATAATTATCTCTTGACTACAGAAACAACTGAATATACACCATGAGGGGCCATATCAGCTCAAGGAAAGATAGCCATTGTCACAGAGGTGCCCAGATGCTAACTTTAGGGAAGTGCAAGGACTTTTTTGCTGTGTGTGAGGAGTGTACAGAATGCCTACTCAGGCCTTCCAATTTGAGATTTTCTGACTTTTTGAAATCTATAGCCTCTGAATTGATATTAATCATAAATCAGCAACAGATTGCTGTGTGTGAGTGGTGTGAGTTGCCATGGACCTGGAAATGGGCTAGAATTTGAGCCAGTGTGGGGGGAGAGAGTGAGGACTGCCTGAACACGTAGCAGACTTTAGCTGGTCAGGGGACACCACAAAGTCAGGGGGACAGGTGACTCCTGGAGATGTGCTCACAGGCAATGTTGTCCATCCCTCACTGAGTGGGTCCCACGGAAGAGCTAAGCAAGCAGCACAGGGTGATGGAAATCCTGTTTAGGAATCTGCGGGCAGGTGGGACAGGGCTGATGGCAGGGAGCCTAATTCTCTTGGGCTGATAGGAAGAAGACAACTGATGTGAAACAGGGAAATTACTTGGTCACCAGATCCAGGTGGAGATGGCCTAATCCCTTTGAAAAGAGATGAGGAGAGGAGGAGGGCAGCAGTAGATTCATATCCTGAAGTAAAAATTCCAGCACTTCTCCATTTCCTCTTTTTTGTTCTGGTGTGGGGCTTGACTTTCTCCAGTTTTCCAACTTTGCAAGGATAGTCAGTATGCATGAGATGACAGTGCATGGGAAGCCTGTCACCATGTTTGAGGTAACCAAGAGAACTGCTTCTCTTTCAATGAACTATTGTTATTCTATTTCTGTAATTCTTGGGTTATGCAAACAGTTAAGTGCTTAACTAACTGCCAAAAATGCTGGCAGCTCAAACCCACCCAGACAAGTGCGTTGGACAAGCCTGGAGATCTGTCTCAGAAAGGTTACAGCTTTGAACACGATGCAGTACAGTGCTGCTTGGTCCACATGGGGACACCGCAAGTTGGAATGGATTCTATAGCAACAAACAGTTATGTTTCCAATGTCAGCACTGTGAAGAATGTAATCTGATATAGACAGCCACAACCAGGACACCCTGTTGACATAGACCTCAAAAAGGTAAAAGAAAGATCGATTTTACTTCGGGCCCCCAATTTCACCATCAACCAGACAGTGGAGCCAGGATATTGAGTCCGGGAGCTGGGCAGCACTGTGCAACAGAAAGTATGCTTTGTTTACAGAAGATCTGAGGCCAGGTGAGCTGGACCTCTGGCATTGGCTGCAGTCTGTGGCCAGTGGGGCCTACCTACCTCAACCTCCTCCTGCAGAGTGAGCTGTCGCTCCAGGCTGCACTCCACCATCTCCGTAGTTACTGGGAGCTTCTCAGGTAGTTTTTTGCACTGCTGGATCAGTACAGGATTACATCCATTTAGGAACTGGTAGCCGAACATGAGGTCTTCCTGCCAGTGATTCATGACTCGCTCTGGAGGGAAAGAAACGCTGAACAGAGCGCAGCTAGAGCTTTCTCCCTCCAGATATTCACAGTGCTCCTTGATAGTTGGGTCACAGGCTCCATGCTGAGCTAGCTGCTTGGCCTGTGACTCCCTCTTTTCAGAACTTAGTCCTTCCAGCCCACTGCGGAAGGCTCCCCAGTAACTAGGATGGAAGGTGAGGAGAGAAGTGTCACAGGTAGGGGTTTGCAAAGGCACGCTTTCCCCATCTATTTCAACATTGATTCATTTCTGTCTCACCTTTTTCTGGTCTTTTATTTATTATTTTTCTTATATTGTGATATGAACAAACTATATATTGGTTTTCATATACATTTTGTTGTATAAAAGGAATCATAACTAATTAATGTAGTTAGTTTATTGAGCTCTGGTGGCTGAGTGGTAAGGAACTGCACTGCAATCCTGAAGGCACATGATTCTAATCCATCAGCTGCTTCTCGGAAGAGGGGTGGGCCATCTCCTCCCGTGCAATTTATTACTTCTGATTACCCTCTGAAGGGTCAACTCTGGTTCAGTTCTGACTCGACACTACTCAACAAGAACAGCAGCTATTTAATTTCAATATTTGATCATTACCTTATAGCATATTCCTCTTCCCTGACTCAATGTTTTTCATTTGCTTCCTTGTCTTTCTGGTGTCATGACTTTAATGACTCTGCTCGTCATCTAAGCAAACACATCCTGGCCCACTGGAACCCTTTCCTGAGAATTCTCAAAACAAGCTCCATTGTGCCTCTCCTCTGTTCAAAAATCATCACAAACGATTCTTGTGGGGAAAGAACCTACCATTTGGGACATGCTTGATGATAAAATGAGATTAAGGGAGACCAGTTCTGAATCTCTGTGGGGAAAAGGTGGCTACAAGTAACACAATTTGCTGCGGGGTGCCAGAGCTGCCTTGGATGAAGGTGGTCTGCGGGCCTGTTCCTTCTTGGCTGGACAGTAATAGGGGTGGTGGAGCCAACCTTTGCTAACATCTAGGCCAGTTTCAGACAGGAGAATGGCAGACCTTTCCCACACACCACAAGAAGCCCCTGCGGTCATCCTCACCTGAAATAGTATTGCTGATCTTGACGAAGATTTTCTCAAAGTCTGCGAAGTCGCTCCAAGAGGACTGGAACATGTGCATGAAGCGGTTGATGAACAGATTCTCCATGCTGCAAACAATAGTTATGTCATTTGTTTGCCTGCACCCAATCACACCCCTTCAGCAAAGCCCTTTCACCCCAAAACCTCACCAGGCCTCCCTAGAGCACTGTTACCCATGTCATCAGGGAGATGCTTGCTCAGTGGACCTGTGAAATCAGGACAGAAACCACCCAGGGCCTCCTATCACCGATGCACCCCTCCCTGTTTCTCTTTGTTCTGCACCTCACTGTGGAGGAGACTTAGGGTATGCTGTCCTTGTGCAGAGCCCTGAAGCCATTCATGCATGCTGTGTTCACTAATCCACTTGTTCCCTCTGCCTGGGGGGCTAGCTTCTGCTCACATTTCCATGAGATAGCCCTCTACCTCCTGCGGACTCCTGGAGTTTAGGTGGTGGGCAAGTCAACTTAGTTTAAATCTCACTGATTTCTGCCTAACACTGAGTATGTGTCTGGTGCTGAGAAGGATGTTAGAAGTTCCCAAATGCTCATCAGACAGATGGTAAAACAGAAATTCTTGGTGGGAAATCACTGCATTAGAAATGCAGGTTACACAGGTGTGAGAACTGAGCAACCCCAAGGGCTTCCTGGGGAGGTGAGGCTTGGTAAAGTGAAGGATGGGGGAGAGGCTTCCAGCACCACCTGTTTGCCAGTGAAGGACAGAAGACTGGGGACTCTGGCCAGTGTTCAAGGTTATCCCATTTCCTCCCACTGTCCTCCTCACTCAGCCGCAACTCGAGCTATGGCTGAACTCAGGCCTCTCCATTTTCTCTCGCTCTTAGGCCTCTCCACTGTGGCCTTTGCATGCAGAGCGCCCTCTGCCTGACATCTCTGTGCCCATCTATTTGCTACAGAAAACATGGGAAGGATGGTTCTGGATCGTTACTGTTTGCATCCTGTTCCTCCTTCAGTGCAAAGTCCACTTCCATACTGGACCAAGCTCCAGGATATGAGTTCCTGCTCATTTCCCCTGTAGCACTCATCACAGTTTGGGCCTGACTCTTGAAAGATCTCAAGCCGCACAAGGACTGGGAAGTCTCCGGTGCTCCCAGTGCAGAGATGGTCTCAGTCAGTGTCAACTTAATAGCAAGAGGGTTAATACAGAATCCTGGCACGAGAGTTTCCCCATCCTCCAGGGTGACAGACCAGGTCCTATATGGCCTGACCACAGCACTGCCTTTGAACCTTTAGCTCCCATGGCTGGGCAGCACACCTGAGCTGCACACATTTGTGCATTGTCATGGAAAAGGTTTGTTAGTCTAGAACTCTTTACTGCCCCTTCACAACATCACACAAATCAAAAGACCAAGATCTGGCCTAGGGGGTAGGGTCAGCGATGTCCCAACTTTGTCACTTTGAGTTGGGTCACTTTGAGTCACCCTGAGCAATTCAAGTCTATAAATGCAAGAGGAACATGAGGATCTGACAATACATAGAGTCATCCTCAGGCAGAACGGCAGATAGAAGGGGACTATGGTGCATGGAGGGTGCAAGGAAATAGCCTTGGAGTTGTGGCAATCTTGTCATGGTGTGCTCAGAGCTGCCTACAGCCTTGGAGCTATACAATGATCCTGGTATTTTCCTGCGGTCCATTTGCCTTCCTCCTCTATACCTGGCCCTTTTGAGGATTGAAGGAAAGACTAGTCCAGGCTTGTTAGATGCACTTGTCCAAGTTCCTGCAGCCTCCTCACTATCCAGCAGCTGCCCTACTCCTGGGCCTTCTGCCTTCATTGTCCTTTCCTCACCTGATGTCCTCCATCATCCTGACTTCCTTGTTAGCCAAAGATAAACCCTCATCTCACTGTGGGATGGGGTAGAAAAGAACTTGTTTCTGAGAGAGATTTTAAAAGTCCCTGGGTGCCTGCAAGATGGCCCATCACCAATGAAGAAAGGGTCCTTCTATGGGTGCTCTCTTGATGATTTTGTGAGGAACTGGAAGTGAGGCAGTCCCCAGGATCATGTTTCCTCAACTGAGTCTCTGAGCTCAAAACAGAAGATTTCCACTAAAATAGGGTGGGGTGTGGCAGCACCCAGCAGAAACCACAGATCTAGGAAGAAGCAAATTAGGAGGAAAACATTTGCCTGTAATCTAGGGGCAAATATGTAGTTAAGCAGACTATTCAAGATGTCAAAGGTTTGTTATTTTACAAAAGAGGAACCTGTAGCTCAAACATCACCCAATTTGACTACTAGCCCCCAGCTTCCGTTGGGCTGGGCACAGCTGCAGACCCTGTGTCAGGGAACTTCGACCTCTTTGTCCCTTTGCTTCCTCTGCTTTTTTCCTTCCAGTAGCTTCTCCATTTTCCATGTCACAGTATGGTCTGCAGGAGTGGAGGAGACGGGTGCAGTAAGACTTACAGAGGAGGGCTGGAAGCAAGTCACCAGAGTTACTCAGAAGTGGTGGGGAGAGCCTCTAGTGAGCTCAGCCATATCTTCCTGATAATCATGGATAAGCCTGAATTTGGCCATGGCAGAGTGGAGCTGCCTCAGTAAGAGCGCAGGCCTGACCTAGGTAAAGTGGATGAGCATGTATTTATTTCTGAGCATAGTTTCACTGACAGTTTTGGAACCTCTTTCTCCTCTGTACCCTCCTCAACAGGAATCCAGGACTAGATACAGAAGTTCAAATAAGGGGAGATAGATGCAAGGCAGCACTGAGCTCCAAGGACCTGGAGTGAAATTCTAGGCCTCAGCTTCCTCATTTATGAAATGAAGGTAGATGCTGTGAACTTTGTGTCTCTGGATCTAAGGGATCATTTTGATACATCTCAGTGTCAACCACCACCTCAAACTCCCGAGCTTACGAAGTTCTTGGAAAGAAGGGGTAACAAGAACCCTCCTCGAAAGCCCTTCTTTCCTGGGCTAGAGGAGCCTCAGAATAGCCAGTAAGCAGGCAAGTGACCTGGGACTTCACTAGACTCATTAGAAAGTGGATTGAGGGTATCAAGTGTGGGCTGGGGAAAACTCCCAGAAGGAAGACTAGTGGGAAGTTATTCACTGGATACAATGGGGCACTGAACACATCAGTTCATTTAAATCTCGTAGTAACTGCAAACTACTGTTAGGGATCATTAACTTCATTTTTTTAAGAAAAGAAATTTTATTTGGCATACTCACTAAAGAGAAAAGGGAGGTGGGAAATGGACTACATGCTATCAGAGCATTGGCTGCCTGAAATCCCATTTGCTTCATTTTATAGAAAGGAAACTGGGTGTTGGAAAAGTTAAAAACCTCTCCCAAGAGGACGCTCCTAGAGTCTGAATTCAAACACTGGGCAGGCAGGCTCTTACTGAGGCAGGCTTTTGTTCTGAAGTAGTCATTAAACCAGTTGCTGGCAAGTTGACTCCAACTAGGTGACCCCACCTGTGTAGAGCTGAGCTCTTCTGAATTCTTGTTTTTTTTTAACTAAATTTCCATTCATTCATTGTTGCACTTTCCCCCTGCCTATCCCTCCCCAAAGTTCTATTTTCTCTTTGAAAAGTAAAAGAAAAATTCTTTCATTGTTACACAATCTCTTCCCCCAAGTCCACTCCACTATGCAGCCTTCATTTTGGACTCCTGTCATGACAATAATACCTAATCAGATATCTCTTTTAAACAGTTCTCTCCCCCATCTGTTTCAATGCAATACATGTAATTTATCCCATCTTTATCAGTCACCCCTCAACCCCGATGTCAGTCCCATTTTACAAGCCACTAAGCAGTATATGTCCTTTTGTGACAGATATTTCACGAAGCATAAGGTCCTCCAGGGTCACCTATATTGAATAATATTTCATGAGTTCTTTGTTTTTCAGTGCAGCATAGTATTCCATTGTGTGAATATACCACAGCTTCTCTATCCATTCGTTTGTTGATAGGCATGTAGATTGTTTCCAACTCTTTGCTATTGTGAACAAAGCTGCAATAAACATGGGTGTGCGTATATCTGCTTGTGTGGTGATTACGGCTTCTTTAGGGTAAATTCCCAGTAGTGGAATTGATGGGTCAAACGGTATTTCTATTTTCAACTTTTTGAGAAAGCACCATACTGCTTTCCATAGTGGTTGCACCATTTTACACTCCCACCAACAGTGAATAAGGGTTCCACTTTCTCCACAACCTCACCAGCATTTGTTGATTGCTGTTCTGTTAAATTCTGAAATTCTTACTGGGGTGAGATGATATCTCATAATTGTTTTGATTTGCATCTTTCTTAGAGTTAGGGATTTTGAACATTTCTTCATTTGTTCATTAGCCATCTGAATGTCTTCTTTGGTGGATGAAGTGTCTGTTCATATCCTGTGCCCATTTTCAATTGGATTGTTTACCTTTATATTGTTGTGGTGCTTGAATATTTTATAAATTCTAGATGTAAGTCTCTTACCTGACATGTCATTACCAAATACTTTTTCCCAGTTTGTGGCTTCCCTTTTTACCCTGTTGGAGAAGTTTTTGGACGTGCATAGGGATTTGATTCATAGAAGGTCCCATTCATCTACTTTATCTTCTCCTGGTTGTAGATTTTCCAGGATGCTTGGAAGACTGTTTATGCTGTGGATTAGGACTTCTAGAGTTCTTCCAAGCTTTTCTTTACTTGGTTTAGTCATAGGTCCATGATCCACTTTAAGTTGGTTTTTGTGTATGGAGTGAGGTGTAGATCTTGCTTGAGTTTCCTACAGATAGTTTTCCAATATTGCCAGCACCATTTGTTAAAAAGGCTGACATTTCCCCACTTAACTAATTTCATTTCCTTGTCAAAAATCAGTTGGCCATAGATAGATAGGCTGGTTTCTACACTCTCAGTTCTATTTCATTGATCTATGTGTCTGTCATTGTACCAGTACCATGCTGTCTTGACCACCATAGCAGTGTAGTAGGATTTGAAATAGGGAGTGAGATGCCTCCTACCTAGTTTCTCTTTTCAAGGAGTGCTTTCCTTATTCAGGGCCTCATTCCATTCTAAATGAATTTGGAGATTGCCTTTCCATCTCGTTGAAGAATGGGATTAGTATTTGTATTGGGATTGCATT